ATGTGTGGCGCATTACGAACAACGGAGACCGTTGAGCAACTGAAGTTGTACATCAAGCAAGAATGAGAAAGAATTCCAGCTACAAAGCTTCAACAGTTGGTGTCCTCAGTTCCCAAACGCTTACTGAGTGTTGTTAAAAGGAAAGGTGATGTAACACAGCGGTGAACACGCTGCTGTCCCAGCTGTTCAGAACGTGTTGCAGGAAACAAATTCAAAGTGAGTGAATATTTGCTAAAAACAATAAAGTTTATCAGTTTGAACATTAAATGTCTTTGTGGTGCATTCAGTTGAACACAGGCTGAAAAGGATTTGCAAATCATTGTATTCTGTTTGTGTATTTAGGTTTTACACAACGTCCCAACTTCATTGGAACTGGGGTTGTACTTGTACTTTTCTTGAGTATTTCCATTGTTTGCCACTTTCTAAATCTTTATAAAGCTTTTCAGATTACAGTTGTACATTAATTCATGTGATAAAACTCTGTAATATTTCTCAAAAAAGTCAAAGTTTCTTCTTCTTTCCTCCCAGTAATCATCGGCTGACCCCTCAGATTTATCTGGTGACCGTGTGGAGGGGCCCGACCCCTAGGTTGGGAACCACTGGACACCGAGCACCCCCCTGTATCTGCATGAAATGGTTTGGTCCTGCAGGAGCACACTGATCAGTGACAGTGTTTGCAGTCAGTAGATGCAAGGCAAGTTTATTTGTAGAGCACATTTCAACAACAAGGTAATTCAAAGTGCTTTACATAAAACATAAAAGCAACAGGGAAATATTAAAAAGTTTTAAAAGTTAAATAGAAAATAAAGACAGGCAGGTCTCCCACTCTATCCCCCTTTAATTACTTAGGGACTGTAACCCTAAGGGGCCTCTAACCCTTTGACACTTAGGGACTCTGATCTTTCCTTAGATACAGTCGTCACTGTAAATCCAGGTTGTCCACGCTACAAACTCCGGTAAAGGCGGTTAACAGCAGGACCCTGTCAACAAGTCAACAGCGGACAGAACAAGGACTCTAATCCTTGTAATTCTACTCGGCTCTGTAAACTGAGGATCAGCCGTGTGAGATGGTAGAATCAAAAGAGCACTCGAAGCTTTTTAAACAGTGTTAATATCTGAAAACAAAGAAAAAGAAAACAGGACAGTAAAAGTTCAAGGAGAGTTAATGTTTGGCAGCAGGTTCTTTGAGCTGCAGGTCAGAAACAGTCAGCTGATGTTTTATCTGCAGCTCTCTGATGATGAGATAAGCACAACGTGTTAATGAGTGTGTTAACGAGCGTCCTGATGGTAATCAGCTGAGTGTGTGCTGAGAGGAGGAGCTGAAACTCTGTTCCTCAGGGGGAATGAGGCGTTTGTGTTCAGAGGAGCTTTCAGCCTCTGAGTGATGGTATTAAACTCTATTTTAGATAATGATGCAAATGGACTGATTGTTTTACGTGGAAATGCTAAACTTCAGAGACGTCAGAACAAAATCACATTTATTTAAAAGATTTAAGTTCTTTTTTTTCATGTTTTTACTGAAATGTTGAAGGTTTATTTGTTGTGTTTGTTGTCTGCAGCTATTAAAAACTGGTTTTATGTTTAAAATGTTTTGATTTGATTTTATTGGATTCATTTTGCGTTCCTTTTATTTTATTATATAAGGAGTGATTTTATTTTATTTTACTGTAATAAAAAACGTATGACAGAAAACTCTTCTGTTCTCTTTGTGTCTCTCATCGGGGGAGGTCAGGTCATCTCCCCTCTGAGGGGGGAGACGGTGTCAGACTTTAACACCTGAGCAGCTGAGCTTCAGACTGAGGAGAAACACAGACTGTGTATAAATCAATAAATAAACTGATTCTGCAAATTAAATATAAGTATGGAGTGTTATTAGTGCCACCATGTCACGCTGTAGTTTCACAGTCACGTGCACAGTCCTGTGTTAGTGCATGTGTGTTGCAGAGGTGTGAATCTAACTGGTGCATAAACTCTCCCAGTAACAGGAGCAGTGCATTCTGGGACGTTCTCCTGGTAATGGGAGTTTCAGATGCTGCAGCTGCTGCTTTAAACTCACAGACAGTTTGGAGGGTGCAGTCCTGCCGGCGCCCCCTGCAGGCATTTAATGAAATCTTCTCCTCGTGTCTGCACGCTAAATATGGAGCTACAGCCAGCTGGTCAGCGTAGCTTAGCATAAAGACTGGGAACAGGGGGAAACAGCTAGCGTGGATCTGTCCAAAGGGAAAAACATCCACCTACCGGCAGCTCACTGATCAACATGTTACACCTGCTTTGTTAAAGTGAACTAAAACGCAACCAAAGTGTAAAAAGTCACCGATTTACAGACTATTTCTGGGTTCTAAAATGTTTCCAGTCAATCAGCAAAGACTCCAGGAAGTAACTGAAATAATCACACTTGTTATTTTTCTATGACACTTGAAATGTAAAACTGATTACAAGAAAGTAGCATCGTGCGTTCTCTGTGCAAACACATCACATAAACTGTAAAAGCGCTTATTAACCCAAAGAAACGATGCTTTAGTAAAACCTCAGTTTTCCGTCTCAGCATCGTCACATCGCCCTCTGATCACTTGCTCTGAGCTCTGCAGCAGCGTTTTCTTTCATAAAGACCAGTTCATGGTCAGATCTGGCTCCTTAGCTGTCTCACCTGAGCCGAATGTTGGAGCCTGGTTTGGAGACCAGACAGAGTTTGTCAGCTCGTGTAACGTGTGACCTCCTGTGAACGACCACGACCACTTCAAGACTCCTGTTACAAGAGAGCAAGTCGTGTGGTGTGACCAGCACAGCGACTGCAGACGACATTATTTGACAGCAGATAGAAATCACGGTCGACGAGGAGTGGCGCAGACTTGAACCTGTGAGGGTTGGATCACGTGGCCAAGATCTTCAGGCAGAGCGTCGACTCAAACACCTGAAGTGTGACTGAAGCGCAGGTCACTGTGAGTGTGTTGTGGAGGTGTGAAGCTGCTGGACGACAGTGTGAGAACTTCATGCCCGACGCGCTCCTCATCAGCGGGGGGGTCAGAGGTCACACGTCCTCGTTTTCTTTCGTCACCTCATGTAATGACACACACACACCCGCACAGAGGTCTGCTCGCCGTGTGCATGTCCTGTAGTTCCAGTGACCCGGCAGAAATATGTGACTGGGGTCATGGAGGGTCACGTGACCCGACGTGTTACAGGTTAGCTCTCGTCTGATTGGATGATCACGTCTTTTGCACGACGGCTGATTTGTTTGTCCAAAACAGAAGATGTACATTAAGTGTGAAGTTCTTCGGTTATAGAAGTGGTTCATGACGCCCTCTCAAAAAGTTCTCACGTCCACAAAACACCTAAACGGATTGAAGGAGCCCAGTTGAATTTGATTAAAATAAATAAATGATTCAGGTCGGTACGTTAGCTGAATCTTTTCATTTCCCTACATGAATCATGTTCGTTCATCCCTGTGCACCCCCAGCTGGGCCCGCCCCCCAGTTTGAGAACCGCTGGGTTATAGAAGGAGACAGTCAGGGACAATCTGAAGATGGAGACTTGTTTGTACATGAATATAGAAATGAGTATTTGTATTTATGAAACGCTTGTGTCCTTTCTCTGCAAACCGTTTCCATCCTGAAGTCATCAGATCGAAACTAAATCCAGCTCTCTAACGCGTAGGGTTTAAATACAGCGACCAACTTTTGGACAAACCTGAAGAATTTAAAACCGTTAAAATGTTTGAAGACTTAACTATTTTTCTTTAATGCCTTTGTTGCTTGTTACGTGACCCCCCTGTTTCACGTTCTATTACTCTGTTGTTTACTGTAGGCTATTTAGTTTTGGCTGAAGATGGAAAATGGATTTTTAATTTTCTCACTTGTCGAACACAAAGGGTCAAAATTAATGGTTGTATTTCAGATGAGTTGTATGTTAGCATTGGTTCACCGCAGGGGTGTATCTTGAGCCCCCTATTGTTCACATTGTATACTCATGACCTTGAAGCATCCAATGCTAATAATGTGATAATCAAATATGCCGATGACACAACTATAATTGGGCTGATTAGTTCAAACGATGAATCTCATTATCGCGAGGAGGTGGAGAATGTTGTTCAATGGAGCAAGGAAAATAACTTGCTTTTGAACACTTCAAAAACACGTGAACTTGTTATTGATTTTTGTCACAATAGGAATCATGTGCCTCTTACTATCCATGACTCCGATGTGCAGATTACTGAGAAATGTGAATTTTTAGGTGTGACCCTTTCGCATGATTTGAACTGCAGCTCTAACACGACTAAAATTGCTAAGAAAGCAAGACAGCGCCTTTTTCTTTTTACGTAGGCTTTGAGAGTTTACTCAAAACACTAAGATTATTTTGAACTTCTACTATTGTGTAATTGAGAGTGTCCTAACTAGTTGTATTACTGTATGGTTTGGTAATCTCACCTTGAAAGAGAAGAAGGCTTTGAAGAAAGTGGTTCGCTCAGCCAGCAGGATCTTTGGCTGTACTTTGCCGCTTCTGGAGGTTACATATAAAGCTAGACTTTTGAATCGAGCTTTAAAACTTGCTAATGATGCATTAGGCCTTCCCTCAGGGAGAAGATATCGCTCTGTCAAATGTTCTACCGATCGCCATTTCAACAGTTTTTTTTCCCCAAGCTGTGATCACTTTAAACAAAGCACCTTAAATTAAGCATTTTATATCTTATGGATGGATTTTATTGAATAGTGTTTTATTACTGAGTTTTTGTGGCAATTGCTTGTCTGTTTTATGTTATGTTTTCTTATGTTTTTTATGTGGTGACATTGCACTTTGAGCTTCTTGCATATTCTATTCCAATGTGGTTTTATACTGCAAATGGCTAATAAAGTGAACTGAATGGGAACTGTTGGGCTTCTGTAAATAACATCACAGAGTTCGGTCTAGACCTGCTCTTTTATGAAAAGCGCTGTGAGATAACTGTTGTTGTGATTTGGCGCTATATAAATAAAATTGAAAAATTGAAATTAAAGTGAATCTGATTCAATTAAAACAACATTTTTATTGTCTATCAGACAAGAGTGGTGTGGAGGACCCTCCGCATGAACGCACAAACGGAGTGGAAGTAGGCAGGGAGAGGGAGGAGCAAGCAGTTTCGGAAAGGCCCTCTGTCTCAGATCACATGAAGAACGACTTCCTGCTTTCTGCTGCAGCCGGAAGGTAAACAAACGAGTTTAGTGTCTCTGTTCTCGGCCTGACCCGATTTGGTGGTGTTCTGTCTGCAACCCTTTTAATGCTCCACATCTCCTCTGCACAGCTGCATCAGGACTCTCACGCTGAAATAAACATTCCATAAAAAGAATAAAAATCTCGTGTAAAATGAGCAGCACATACAGAGCAACCGTAGATCTTAATGTACTTCCTCCTGTAAAGATGCTTGCAGTAAGATCTGCTGTAGTAGTAGTAGTAGTAGTAATAGTAATAGTAGTAGTAGTAGTAGTAGTAGTGTGTCTCCCAGCAGGTGGGTGAGAGCAGCGACTGAAGAAACACACACACATAAAAAAAGTGTCAAAACTAACAGCTACAATCACCTACAGCACCTGAACGCCCCCTGAAAACCACAAACCAGACTTCACACCTCTGAGTGTGTGTGTGTGTGTCCTGTTCCCACACTCTGTCTCCTGCCGTGACCTCCTGCAGAGCCCTGACCTCCTCCTCCCATCATCATCAGCCTTCCTCCTCCTCCACACACACTTTCCCTTCGCGTATTCTGCTAATTCAGCATCACTATCAGTGTGCGTGTTGGGAGCTTGTTGTTGTATCTGATGTCGGTAACGAGGACAAACAGTTTGGGGGTTAATGAGGCGCGACACCGTCCTCCTGGTCCAGTGTGATAACGCTGAGCTCGTCGGGCGCTGCAGACTCGGCCTGTCCTTCCTTTCTTCAGATGTGAGCTGTTGTTGTTCTGCCTTTAGTTTTGTTGGCGCTGTTCCTCCATCTTCCTGCTGCAGGTCCCGTCTCAGACTGCGTTCAGACTGCAGGCCAAAGTGACCCAGATCAGATTTCTTTCTGTGAACAGAACAGAAATTTTTATTGTCATTGTCCACGTACAATAAAATTGGATGCATTTCGTTTAGTGCAAACAGGTATATAAATATAAAAGATATTTTATAAAAGAGAAAAAAAGGAAGAAAGAGTCTAAAAGAAAAGTAAAAACAAATCAAACATACACAATCTTTCCATTCGATCCATTCGTAACTAATTCTTATTCAAGAAGTGTTTAGTGCTGTTGTGGCTTTTGGAGAAAAACTGTTTTTCAGTCTATTTGTTCTTGTTTTATTTGTCCTGAATCGTCCGCGGTCACACACAGAGTGTCCAGTGTGAGGTGGAACCTTTAGTGTGTTGTAGTAAAAGGTCTTCCAGGGAGGGCGGAGGGCAGCCAACCATCTGGACGCTTTCTTCTCCGCTGCTGTGCAGCTGGAAAACCACACACTCTCTATGGAACAGCCCAGGTCACAGTGACTCTGATCTTTGGGCCACTTTCAAATGTGGTCTAAATCTGATCCAGGTCTGATTCTTGACATTAATCTCAGTCCGGACATCAGATCTCGAGCGACCGTCGTCATAATTCTGCTCTAGATGGAACTTCAGTGAACGAAAAAGCTCCACAGAAGCCAGAATTAAACATGTGACTGTCTTTCTGCTCGTCCATCTGCTCACAGATTTCCTTTCTTCCACCTTAAAATCCAGCGGGTCTCCAGCCCCAGAGAGAGAGCGCTGTGGGGCAGATGTGTTGGTCAGAAACAGGAATGAAAAGGACAGAAAGTTGTGAACATTTATAAAATAAATCAGGAGAAATGTGACCCCAGGAGGAAACCAGGAGATGAGACAGGTTAGCATGTCTGAGCGAACCGACAGGGCGCTGCGTGTGACGTCGTTTTATTGTTCTGTCACTTTCAGGCCGCGGACAGTTCACACTTCAGTCTGAGATGAGCCACATTTAAACTATGATCTGTGCAATAAATCAGAATGGAGCATTAAGGCCTGCAGAGTGAAAGCAGCTGCACAACTTCCAACCGTCGGTCTTTGAACGGTCTGGCTCACGATACTTGACGTTGACTTTAAAATGCACGTATTTGTGTGTTTAAACTCTGCAGCCGGTTAATAATTAAACCATCGAGCAGGAGGCAGAGAGAAAAGTCAGGACGTCTCAACCTGCAGCGGGTCCGTGAAACACTCGGGACGGATTAGCTTTTCTCCTTCTCTTCTTTCCTCTCCGATGATGAACTCCTCCTCCTGAAGCAGGATTCAAGCTGAGGGGGAACACTTCCTGCCCAGAAAGCGGGAATCAAACAAACGCCCGGGAGGAGACAAGAGGGAAGGAAGGAGGGAGGAAGGAGTGTTTGTGTTGAGGATGAAGGGAGGGAGGCGCCCGGAGAGCTTTCTGACGGTTGGGAAATGATTTCAGCCAGCAGACGTTTGAGGGGAATTTCATTTTCCAGACGAGAGTTTTTCCTCCGAAATTCATCGGAAAAAAATCAACATCTCTCTCCCTCTCTCCCTCCCTCTCTCCCTCCCTCCCTGTCAGTGTTTGGATCGTTCCTCTGACAGCCAGTTAGTCCTGGCTCCTAGACTTCAGTTCTGGAATTTCTGGATCCAGATGGACTAAAGCCAGAGTGAGAATGAGGGTCAGAGTCTGAAAACCTGGTTTCAGGTGGACTCAGCTGGACTTCAGCTGACCTCTGGCCTCCTCACCTGGATTCTGACTTTGTGTGGATTCAACTCAGGTATCTGAGTACTTCCTACACCTCTGCTGAGAGGACAGGAAGGACCCGCCCACAAAGACCAGTTTAGTACAACTGAACTGAACTGAAGACTCTGAAAAGCACATTCCTGCCATACTGTCCCAGATACTCTCTCTCTCTCGCTCTCTCTCTCTCTCTCTCTCTCTCTCTCTCTCCCCCACGGTTTACCTGACTTCCTCACCTGTCTCCAGAGCATCCTGCAGCTCAGGTTTCTCTTCACTCTGACAGGAAACTGGGAACTTTAACTTCAACAAATTCTAAAATGTTTAACGGTATTCAGTAACTGACTCCTCCCACTCATCCTCGGTGTTCACACACCTGACTCCTCTCTACTCATTGTCCATTTCCCAGAACCTCTCTGGTGAGGTGTAATTTTAACTTTGTGTTCATCGCTTGACCGCTGGCCTACTCACATGGGTGTTCCCTTTGGAACACACAGTCTTTATCGCGGCCTGGCAGCCGATCCGTAGTAGCTACATCCGTTCTCAAGTTACGGGCCTGTAAAGCACAGGAGCGCTTTTGGTCACAGGAATATTGTTCAATATTCACTGTTTTTATCAATATTTCAATGCTTTGGAAGCTTGATGTTATTTGGAACGTGGTTGCATGAGCATGAATAGTGTTTTAAAGACAATAAAAGTCAACATTTAAACAGTAAATTTGGCCAAAACATGGACATTCTCCTGGTCAATTTATTTAAAAATTGCATGACAACTGTTGTATATTAGTTTCTTTATTGCATCTTGATGCAATAAAGAAAATGAAATGGTAAAATAAATATGTTAATTTGGATTCATATTCCTTAGCTTCTGACCTTTCAAAGGAGACCAGGCCAAATGGTTGAGGAGTTATTCCTCTTTAATTTTAGTTAATTAGTAGTAATTGTAGTTTTTCCTGGAATTGGTGGCAGCACCTCCAGCTGGAGGGGCCTTTGCAGTGATGGGGCACAGCATGAGCAAGCAGTCTTTCCCAACATCGAACTCACCCTGGGAACTTTTAAAAGACCAATGACTGCTGACCGCAAAGCTAAGGAGGCTACTGATGTAACGTGGTAGTTTGCATATGTGACAGCTCAGGAGAGAGAAAGGGTGGCAGCAGCAGTACGTTTAAGGTACAGGAACATTTACTGACTGCATGAAAGTAGGTTACAGGTCACACAGGTGTCCGTCCTCCACAGCCAAACAGTCCACGTCTCTTCATGAAATGTATGCAGATCTACTGTCAAACCACAGGCGACCTACCCTCAGTGCTGTGCCTGAACGCACCCTGCTACAGTGCAGACGATGTGTTCTGTGTCAGTTCAGGATTTAGTTTATTGAAACAGCATGAATGAGTTGCTGCTGCAGCTGAATTCACATCCACTTGTGTCTTTGCAGCGACTTTATGTGAAATCAAGTTTTTATTTTGCATCCTTTCTGTCAGGTTTGCATGAACTTCCTGTGACTGTCTACATGTCCAGATCTTCAGTCTGAACTTTAACTGCGTCCCCTCCCAGCAGCGAAACTTTTCTATTGACAGACTTACTTTAACAGGATTTCACAGTCAAACTACTTCCTGTTTGTCAACTTTCACTGTTTCAGTTCTGCTTTCCCTGAAACTGAAGATTTACATAAATTGACCCTGAAGACGCAACTCCTGCTCAGAGTCTCCTGGTCTGCGTCCCTGCACTGAGTCTTTCTCAGAGAGTTTCTGTCGGTGTGACTCTCTGTCTGAGCAGCTCAGAACCATCAAACCGCCCGTCTGTCCAGACATCATGTCATCAGGTCAGACAGAGCCGAAGTGTCTCTGCTGCCAGCCGGCGGCGCTCGCTGCTTCCTGGGATGATAAACACCTCGGCCCTCGTTCTCCACCCCCCTCCCTCCCTTTGTGTGTCTGCAGCCCGGATGTTTCCTCCCACCTCAGAATTCAGACAATGCCGAGCATGTCCTTTAGCAGACGGAGAACAATTCCAGCGATGTGAGCAGCAGCAGCAGCTCTCTGTCCTTACATGGAGACGCTGCAGACAGACGACACATCTGCATCCACATCTGCAACACTTTAAAACTCATTATTCAGCACTACTGAACATCATCAGCTCCTTATTTGTAAAGCAGCATTTAGAAGCTGCGTCTTTGGAACCTGTTTAAATTTCACCGGCCCAGCAGGCGGCTGCAGCTCTCACAGTTGTCCTGCAGATCTGAGGTCTGTTTTTAGCACCGGCTGTTCCATCAGAAATGAGTGGAATTTCCTGCAGCTGCTCGGCAGCACCAACAGAATACCTCGCTGTGAAATCTGTATCATCACCAAATCATGATTAATAATAAACTTTATTTTTAGAGCACAAAGTACAAAGTGCTGCACAGAGAGAAAGATGAATCATAAAACACATGAAGAGCAATAAAATCTATAGATAAAATCAGGACATTCTCTCTGATAAAAGTACATTTTTAATTTAATGTGTTGCCGTCTTTACCTGTAAAGCCTTATTTATACTTCTGCGTCGAGTCTACGCCATGGCGTACGGTGTAAGCTACACACGTAGCCACACATTTATCCCTGTGCGTTGGTGTCTGCACAAAATGTTAGTTGGCGGTTGCGTTACAGCGTCCACTGTGTTGGCGGCTAGCTTCCTGTTCAGCCCTCTGCTAACTTGAATGGGGGTAAAATAATAATCTTGCTGCTCTTCGAGATTTTTCAAACGTTATCGACCGAATGGATCAAACTCTGATAGTGAAACGAGTCACGGTGCAGGGGTTGTGATGCTTCCTGTGGGCTTGGAGCAGATGCGATGTACCAAGCCAAACAATCAGAACTTTTGCAGTCTGCATTGCTGTGACGTGTAGTTATGTTTTCGAGGAGGTGCGTGTCAGGCTACGGCGTAGAATCGACGCAGACGTATATACGGACTGACCTGATAAAGGGGGCGTAATCGATTTTCGCTGTTCTAGCTGTTTTCCATCTAAAAACAGCAGTCGTTTGTGTCCACAGAGACCGCTTGGTGAGGTCGCCTTAGCTCTAAGTTTCCTTTCTGTCGTCAGATTGAAGTAGAAAAGAAAAATTTGCTTTAGCGACCTGTAGGAGCTACACAGACATGCAGGATATCAATCGATTCGTCTCTTCAGCCCTGAAGGATGTTCTGTTCTCAAGCGGTGGCCTGTAAAGCGTGGGAGTGCTTTACAGGCCAGTTTCTTTTCATCAGATTTACAGTTACAGCTGTATTCCAGGTGGATTAGAAGATATTCAGGTGCATTATAATCTACCTCATGATGTTTTGATGGTTTATTGCATTAAAATAGAGCTTTTTTTACCAGGTGAGGATGAAAATCTCATATTTTTTCTGTATTGCATCTCCCTGTAGTCTGTAATGGGAAAATAAATGTTAATGTACAATGGATTTATATTCCTTAGCTTCTGACCTTTCAAAGGAGACCAGAATGATGTATCTAGGCCTGATGGTTGAGGAGATATTACTGATTTATTTAGGGTTTGTTATTTTAGGCTTTTTTCCTGGAAGTAGGTGCCAGGTACTAGTGTTGCAGTCAAGACCAAGACTTTTAGGGGCTCAGACCAAGTCGAGACCAAGACCAGTTCCCCACATTATATGACACACTATAATGTGTAACCAGATCAGAGGTGCTTCTCAAATAGATCTGAAAGATCCACATTCCCATTAAAACACCCACATACAAACTCTAAGAGCTGAAATCAACGTACTTTTCCATGCTGACCATCATAGAGAAGGGGGACAGTCGTTAACGGGAACAACACATTTTTAATTAGGATTATTGGTTGCATTTTAAGAAATACGTTTTACATCCAATCACAGTTTGGATGTTAACAAATAAACCAGACGATGCAAAAGCAATTTATTGATATTCCCAAAGTTACGGTCTTGACTGGTCTTGAAATAAAATCCAGAGTCTTCAAAGTCCGAGACCGAGACAAGACCGAGTACAAATGCGGTCGAGTCCAAGACGAGACCAAAACCTTAAAAAAGCGGTCTTAAGACCGGTCTCAACGCTTCCAGGTACCATGTGGTTAACTCTGCTGCTACAGAGACTCTCTCTCTACCTGCAGTCCTGCTCATATTTAAAACCTGACTGGAAACCTGTTTACACACATACACACAAAGCTGTGAAACCAGATTTCTACAGGAACCAGATGGTTTTACAGTAAAGGCTTGAATGACTGAACCCAAAGTAAACACTTATTGGACCCTGGGTTCACGTCAGGATGTCTGGATATAAATTAAATCAGTCTTCACATCTTTTTTTTTGCATAGTAGTAAGATCTGACCTTCCTGACCTTTTCCTAATTTCAGTTTTTATTCTGCACATGTCAGTCGGCTAGTTATTCCAGGTAGCTGTCGGTATGCACGGCGTTTCCTCATGATGATAACTGAACTGGAAACGATGCTTCCAAGCAGGTCAGTCAAGTTCACATAACTCTGCAGACTAGAAGTCACACAGATTCACTTGATTTTCACGCCTTTAAACGGCTCATACCTTTCATTCCTCTCATTCCTCTGGCTTCATGTTGAAGCAGCAGTTGTTTGAACATGTTTATGGAATCTGCAGAACAAAGCTGATGATTTGTCATCAACAGAAGCTGCACTGGAAGGTTTGTCCTCAGGGTGGCGCTAGAGGAAACATAAGGTCATTAACATCTCAGGTGTCTCTGAGGTTGAGCTGGTTGAGCTGACTTAAGCATTTTAATACTTTTAAGCCAAAAATAAATAAATAAAGGACTTGACAGTATTTTTCATTTTTATTTGTTTTAAAGAAAGGTTTGGATGCAACATATTATCTTATTATCTTAGCAGATAATGTAGAATTCCAGCCTTCGGGGGATCAGCAGGAAAACACATTTATACCTTGACTTTGGCAAAAGAATTCACAGATAATTTAACAGTTAAATCAGAAGACAAAATATGTATATATATAGCCGGGTGGTCCGGCTTCCTCACACCGTCCAAAAACATGCAGGCTAGGTTGATTGGTTACCCTAAATTGTCCTTAGGTGTGAGTGTGTGCGTGAGTGGTTGTTCATCTATGTGCCCTGCGATGGACTGGCGACCTGTCCAGGGTGGAACCCGCCTTGCGCCCGATGTTAGCTGGGATTGGCTCCAGCCCCCCCGCGACCCTGTACGCAGGATGAGCGGTTGACGATGGATGGATAATGAAAACATCTTTAGAGGCTTTCTTCTCAGTGTGCGGTTCTTGCAGACTTGGACTCAAGACCTTGGTATTTTTTTAAATCCTGGCTGCAGTCCTGCGGTTCAACCTCCGCTGAGCAGGTAGGAGCTCTGCTGCTGCTTTATAAGATGTCTCCTGTAAAGTGGAGATTTTTTGTGGCGTTTGAGGAACAGTCAGGAGTTTGCAAACATTATTAGGAATAAAAGTCTGTTTTTTAAAAGGCCACGTTCTGTCACAGTTTTGGGTTCTTGGTGTTTTAGATTTTGCTGCTGCTGTTTTTTGGTAAACCTCTTGTGTCGTGGTGTGTTTCACATCCTTGTCTCTGTATTCACTGATTGTCTGATGTTTATTGCCTGT